ATCAATTTTTCCGGTACTTTCAAAGACCAACTTTTGGTTGGTTGTACCTAAATTGCTCTTTTCTATTACTTTTCTGTTACCTATTTTGTTTCTCTCTGCTTGACTCTATTTCCTTCCTTCAGTTAGCTTTGGGTTTAGTTTGTTTTTTTCTAGTTCCTTAAGGTATAAAATTGATTTAAAATATTTCTTGTTTTTGAATATAAGCATTTATAACCATAGATTTCTTCCTTAGCCCTGTTTTCACCATGTGCCATAAGTTTTGTTATGTTGTGCTTTCATGCATCTTTAAGTATTTTCTAATTACCCATGTATTTTCTTCTTTGGTTCACAGGTTAAAAGAGTACTGTTTCATTTCCACAAATTTGTGAATTTTCCAGTTTTCCTTCTGTTACTGCTTTCTAATTTCATCTCACTGTGATCAGAAAAGATGCTTTAATATTTATCTTTAATAAATCTATTGAGATTAACTTGTGGCATAACTTATGGTCTATCCTGGAAAATGTCCCACATGCAATCCTGCTGTTGTTGGGTAGTGTCTCTTGCTGGGGAGACTGTCCTGTATATATTGGGCATAATTCTCCAACTACTATTGTAGAATTGTCTATTTCTCCCCTCAATTCTGTCGATTTTTGCTTCATATATTTTGTCTGTTATTAAATAACTGTTTATAATCATAACATCTATGTATTGAATTCTTAAAATTTTTTAAGAAATGAGGTCTTGCTATGTTACTCACGCTGGTCTCTAACTCCTGGCCTCAAGCAATCCTCCTGCTTCAGCCTCCTGAGTAGCTAGAATTACAGGTGCAATTTGTGCTTGGCTTGGGCTTTTTACTAGCAAATAATGTCCTCCTTTGTCTCGTGTAACCTTTTCAGATTTAAAAGTCCATTTTGTCTGATACTAACATAGCTATCCCAGCTCTCTTTTGGTTACGATTTGCATAGAATATCCTTTTCCACCCTTTCGATTTTAACCTATTTGTATCTTTGGATCAAAAGTGAGTCTGTTGAAGGCAACATATAGTTGAAATATATTATTTATTCATTCTGCCTACCTCTGCCTTTCAATTGGAGAACTTAATCCATTTACATTTAAAGTAATTATTGACAAAGAGGGACTAATCTGTCATTTGGCTATTTGTTTTCCACATGCCTTAGAGCTTTTTTATCTCTCATTTCCTACATTACTGTCTTTTTTTGTTTAGTGGATTTTTATTTTGTAGTGAAACATTTAAATTCTTTTATTTCATTTTGTGTATAGTCTTTAGCTTTTTTTTTCCTTTTTGTGGTAACCAGGGGAATTACATTTAACATCTTAAAGTTACTATACTCTAATCTGAATTTATGCTAGCTTCAATAACACACAAAAACTCTGCTCCTTTAATACCTCTATCCCCACCCCTTTCGGTTGTTGATATCCCCAAATTACATGCTTATACATTATATCTCCAAATATATAAACTAATATTTACTTTAATGCATTACTTTCTTAAATTACATAGAAAACAGGCTGGGTGCAGTGGCTCATGGCTGTAATTCCAGCAGTCTGGAAAGCTGAGGTGGGCGGATCACCTGAGATCAGGACTTCGAGATCAGCCTGGCCAACACGGCAAAACTGTCTCTACTCAAAAATATACAAAAATTAGCTGGGTCTGGTGGCAGGTGCCTGTAATCCCAGCTACTTGGGAGGCTGAAGATAGGAGAATTGCTTGAATCTGGGAGGCAGAGGTTGCAGTGAGCTGAGATTGTGCCACTGCACTCTAGCTTGGAATAGAGTGAGACTCTGTCTCAAACAAAATTACACAGAAAACAAAATGTGACATCACAATAACATTAGCTTTTAGAATAATTTTAGTCTCTTAAATCATGTAGAAACAAAAAATGGAGTTAAACACCATTGTTACAATAACACTTGTTTTTATACTTGCCCATGTATTTGCTTTTACTGAGATCTTTATTTCTTCCCAGGCTTTGAATTATTGCCTAGTGACCTTTCATTTCAGATTCCTTTAGCATTTCTTTGAGGGCAGGTCTAGTAATGAACTCCCTTAGCTTTTGTTTATCTGGAAATGTCTTGCTTTCTCTCTCACTTTTGAAGCACAGTTTGCCAGTTGTAGAATTCTTCGGTGACAGTTTTGTTCCTTTAGTACTTTGAATATATTGGCCCACTGCCTTCTGGCCTTCAAAGTTTCTGATGAGAAATCAGCTGATTATTGAAGACTTTTTTGTATGTGATGAGTTGCTTCTTTCTTGCTCCTTTCAAAATTCTCTCTCTGGTTTTAGACAGTTTGATAATAATGTGTATTGGCATGGTTCTCTTTGAGTTCATCCTACTTGGACTTCACTAAAATTCTTAGATGTTTGTGTTCATGTTTTTCATCAAATTTGGGATGTTTTCAACCATTATTTATTCAAATATTCTCTGCCAAAATACATATGCTGGTTTGATTGATGGTATTCCAAGGTCCTTTAGGCTCTGTTTACTCTTTTTCAATCTCTGTTCTGTTTGTTCCCCAGATTCAATCATTTCCATTGCCTTATCTTCAAGTTCACTGATTCTTCTTTCTGTCTGCTCAAATCTGCCTTTGAATCTCTCCACAGCCCCTGACCTATGAGGGTCTGACTTAATGATTTTTCAACTTTACGATGAGTCTATCTGGACATAATCCCACTGTAAGTCAAAGAGATCCTTATGATTTACGATTCCTACTGAGTATCACCTTTACACCACCATTAAGTCAAAATATTTTAAGTTGAATCATAAGTCAGAGACCATCTGCTGTGCTGTCAAGCATTAACATACTTTCACAACTTAATGATATTTTCAGTTTACCATCAGTTTATCAGCTGCATTGTAAGTCAAGGAGCCCCGCCTCTGCAGTGAGTTTCTCCTTTCAGTTAGCGCACTTTTCAGTTCCAGAATTTCCTTCTGGCTTCTATTTAGGTTTTCTCTCTTTATTGCTATTTCTATTTTCTTCATACATTGGTTTTTTTTTTTTTTTAACTTTTTTTTTTTTTTTTTAACTTATTCCTTATTTTCCTTTAGTTATCTGAGCATCTTTAAGACAGTGTTTTAAAGTCTTTGTCTCATAAATATGCTATCAGATATTTTTCGGAGGCAATTTCTATTGGTTTATTTTTTTCCTTTGAATGGGCTGCATTTTCCTGTATCTTTGTGCATGATTTGCGATTCTTTGTTGAAACTGAGAGCGAATACTCACTCCACCTACAAAGTATTTTACTTTTCAGAAGTGTATTTGTATATAAAAATATTTTTAATTTTTTGTCACAATGTGCTATAAAAACAATGTTTCCAGTAAACTGGTTGGAGATTATAGGGATCCATCCATTCTAGAAGTCACTGAATCTGCTTCAGGTATGGAGTTAACCACAAGCTCACCAAATAGTCTTTTTAGGGGTGATCTTAGGTATGGAACTGGTAAACGTTGAGATTCTTAACTCCATGTGTAATGCCTTCTAAAACACAAATGTCATCCTTCTACTAAAAAACAAATCAAAACCTAACTTCAGTATCTCTATATCCTCAACAGAAGGAAAAGTCTAAACTATTAAGAACGCTATACAATACATTTCACAATGTGGCCCTAACCTAACCTACCTTTGTCTCCTTTTACTTTTACCATGAACCCTTACAATCTTGCCACACTAAATTATTTACCTGTTCTTGGAGCAAGAATCCTACTCCTCTGTGCTTCCATGCTTGTTTACCTGACGCTTCCTCAGCCAGGAGTGTCCCTTCTGCCTCATTTTCATTTTCAGCTGCACTCCTGCTCATTTTTCAAGTTCTAGCTCAATTGTCTCCTTCTCTGAGAAATCTTTTCCAATGTTTCTAGGCAAAGTGACTTATTCCTTTCCTCAGGTTCCATAATGTTTTTAATTCAATTTTGTTACATATTTCCTCAGCAGTTAGCAGAGTACCCTGCACATAACACATGTTCAATAAATGTGATGTCTTGAACAAGAAATACTGGCATCCAAAACCTAGGAGATAATAAGATATCCATATTTCTTAAATCCATATAGATAAATTTATAATAACATGATTTAGCTAGTAGAAATACTTGAGTTCTTGATAAATCATTTGACTAGTAATTTTAACATACAATCTATCACAATTCAGAAGCATCTGAAGTTTCAGCTGCACTGAAGATTTCTCTATCACTTCCCTTTTAAAGTAAGTTTCAGAATATCCTTTACATTTGTACATATATAATCTATTCTCATCCTTACTATCACAGGATCAGTGACCCTCTTTTTTTTTTTTAATCCACTCCAGGATTAGCGCTTCAATTCATTTAAACCTAATTAAATGGTATCTTTAATTAATTTCATTTACCCCCATGTTCTTTTTTTAGAAAGTAGACAAGAAAAAAAATCTCATTAATGTTTCAAACTTCTAAAGCCAATTAATCTCCTACATCTTTAGAATTTGTAATACCATAAAAATGGATTTCCTAGTCTGCTTTGAAAAACATTAGTTGTAATAATAATTTTTTAATGAAGCAGTGTCAAAGAAAGAGTATCTGTTATATTTTGCATTCCACTGCAGTTCATGTCATTCCATATTAATGACAGCCTAGTCTCATTGTCTAATAAGAACTTTAAACCTTCCTATCACAGTGAAAAGAGTATAAAATTAAGGTCACGTTTCATTTTTAAAAAACAGAACAAATTTAAATAAGCCTCAACATAGAAAAAGACCTTTTAAAATATCTGATCATGAAAAAAGCAAATTATACCCCTACCCTCGGAAAAAAACCATATACTAAATGCTGGTTTTCTTTAGATAGGCAAACCACTATCACTAAGCTTAACCCTTTATAAAAAGGTACATGAAGTCTTTAATTCATAGATTAGAGATTACTTTTAGAATCACTGAAGTCTTGCCAAATGTTCATTCTCTTATGAGCTAATGAGTCAGCCACTCTTCCAGTGACTATGCCAGGACAGTCTGTTAGAAACTAATTAAAGAACAGATACCTTTATCAGAGTATGTGTGTTCTAATGCACGGAGATTAGGCAATAGGTGAATGCAGTTTATGCAGCAGTAGGTGAAGAAATCGAGGATGACTATTTTTCCACATAGATCCTTGTAGACAGAAATAGGCTCTTCTGTGTTCAGCCATTCTAATCCTGAAATTTACATAAAATAAATTACAATGATTAAAGGAAAAGAGAGAAAATTTATCTAAAACTTTCTATTAAAATATGACTTTTTTTTAAAGATTTGTGCAAATAGTCAAACACTTTAAGAGAGACTAGCACCATTTGAAGGCTGTGGCAGTTGGAAGTATTTATTATTATATACTCTGAACCACCATTTTCTACCAACGTATCTTTATGACTGTGACTAAACAGATATTTGTGGTTTGAAAGAAAAGACTAAGAAAGCAAATTAGTAGAGATAAAAAGCTCAAAACGGGAAGAAAGAAAAGGAAGGGATGGGGGTACAGGTGAGGGAGCAGAAGTCAAGGACACGAAAGCCGCTATTAGGATGCTGTCTACAAATAAAGCAAGAAAAAGCTACTAAATTCTTTCAGAAATAGTGTCATAGTCTGTGAAAAGGAGTAAGAGCAACACACTTCGGCAAAAAGAAAAATATCAAATACCACATGAACCTAATTACACAGACAATTAGATACTAATGGGCTACTGAGAATAAAGGTCAAGCTTAAGAATAGTAAGATATAACTAAACATCAAAAAGGAGTGAAATGTATATAAGGATAAACATACAAAATGCCCAAGACAATTTCCTAAAGGAGAAGAAACTGAAATATTCTGGATTTGGATGAGACCTTAAATACAAAATAAAGTATTTTAAATGTAAAGTTAAGCAAAATACACTTATTACTGTTGTAGATTTCATTGAGGTAACATTAACATTGATGAAGAACGTGTTCCCTTTCCTCCAAAAAAAGAAAACTCTGTACTATGAAGAAAGATTTTGTTAACTAATAATAAAGTACAGCATCCCTATTTAGCCAAGTTAAGAAAACAAAGTTTATTGCTTATAAGTCAATCAATGCAGCTATTAAAACTATTAATTATACCTTGAAGCAGGTATTTGGAACAGTTTTTAGCAACTGAAAGCCAAAGTTGGGAGGAACAAGTAAACAGTAACAGCTAATGACTAACAACAACTGGAGTTACTCAATTGTAACAAAATTCTAGAAAAAAAAAAATCTGCAGATCAAACTAATATTTGTGCCAATTAGTCCAAACTAATGAGATTTCAGGATACAGTGACCTCTTAATTATCCACTGTTAAAGTATTAATTATATACCAAATCAAGTGATCATACAAAACTTCACATTAATTAATGTATATTTCATATCCTACTTGCAAAATATTTATGAATGTCTTCTGTGACTTTTCTGTAAATAGTGAAGAGTGACTTAAATCAGGGAGTATAGAAAGATTACATCTCACTGTGCTTCTTACCAGGATTAATAATAATAATGTATTTTATAACAACAATGAATACAATAAAAAGCTGCTAACATTTAGTAAGCTTTTCTGTGAATTAAGAATTTTACATACATTACTTTCAATACTAATAATAATCCTGAAAGGTAAATAATAGTTCAATTTTGCAAGTGAGAAATATAAGGCCTGGAGGTCAAGTAACTTGCTCAAAATCACACAACCAACAAAATGGATTAACAAAGATCCAGGTCTGTATAAATCTATCCATTACACTGCACTGTCCCCATAAACATGCGAGTCTTCTAAGAAATGAACAAAGCATACAGTTTTTGAGATAAAGTTATGTTTATGACTTCTTGATTATAGTTTACTGCTAAAGAAACCAAGAAAATAGTCATTTCTAACATTCTATCCTCAATAATTGGATCCAGTAGAAAATCATACTATGTTAAACACAAAGCCTGAATATTTTATTATCTGTTTTTTACTTATGAGTCACAGAGGTCAAATCTCATGGGAATAAAATACACTCCCTGTAAATACAAACAAGACTAGAAAATAAAAAACACTCCCCAAATCCCAGCTGATGGCCTGCTTGTTGATAAGTGTACCTACTAAGTAACTACCTTCTTATGAAAAAATTTTTAAAGCATGTGTTTGTATAGATGTAAACAATATTTCAAAGTTATTTGATGGGATAAGCATTCATGTACCTAATTCTTTTGTAAGAATTCCACAATATTTCAAATCCAATATAAGATTAATGGTAGGAAAAATAAGCACCTCTTAACATGGGTAGTGCAAAAGGCTTGGAAAGACACCAAATACTTCGTTGTCAGAGGCAGGTTCCGATATACCACCCACGAGATAACTGAACTCTGCCATTTCCAACCAATTAACTATACATGTGGTTTCAGTGTCACTCCGGGACACATGCCAGCACCACCAGGCAAAGCAATGCTACTACCATCCAAAGAAGGTAAAATATGTTTTCATGTATCATGGTGAGATGTGCTTCACAAAGAGCCCTGCTGGGAATATCTATTCCTTCATGCTTCAAAGGTTCACATAGCCAGGATTTAAACCCTGGAGATAGGCTATAATTGATTCCGATTTTTAAAAGTATTAGTTTCACGACTTTGAGCGGAGAAGCACGACACGGGCTAAGAAATCAGCAAATCTAGGGTCAATCCAACTGGGGCAGTTATCAGCTGTGAGGCCCTAGGCATGTTACTTAACCTCTCTGTACTTCCATTTCCTTAACTGTAAAAGAGGAATGATACGAGCACCTCACTGGGCTATAGAGATGACTGAATAAGGAAATATTCCCTCAAGTGTTTAGAACTCTGTGTGGCAGGTTGGGCGCGGTGGCTCACGCCAGGCACTTTGGGAGGCCGAGGCTGGCGGATCATTTGAGGGCAGGAGTTCGAGACCAGCCTGGCCAACATGATGAAACACAATCTCTAACAAAAATAAATAAATAAACAGCCGGGCGTGGTGGCACGTGCCTGTAGTCGCAGCTACTCCGGAGGCTGAGGCAGGTGAATCGCCTGAACCTGGGAGGCGGAAGCTGCAGTGAGACCAGGGCCACGCCACTGCACTCCAGCCTGGGTGACAGAGCCGGACTCGCCTCAAAAAAAAAAAAAAAAAAAAAAAAAGAAACTGCGTGGTACAAGAAAAAATGGTCAATAAATGTCAAGGTGATGCAAAAAGATTACGAGACGACACTGGGGAACCAGACTGAACGGACAGAATGGTGTGAACGTTGCAATCATCGCCAACGGGGACACTAAACATTCACTGACTCTATTTGACTAACATTAGGGGCGGGCAGGACTCAGGATACACAGACGAGTACGTGGGTCTCCGTCCCCGAGAAACCCACCGTCGGTGGCCGCTTGGGGATATCTGGAATTGCAGAGCACAAGAGCAGCGGCCCACGTCGGGCGAAGAGCCATTCCCCCGGACGCCAGCGACACAAACCCGCCTAGCCCACCGCTTCGGGGGAGAGCGCCATCCCCGAGGAAGGGGAGGTGCCAGGAGGGGCCCCCACCCCGACGCCAGCCCCTCACCTTCCGGAAACTCGGGAACAGACAAGTCCTGCTCCCAGCCGTCCACCTTCTGCAAATACTGGTAGACCAGACTGTCCTTCTCCTGCTGGGTGACGGCGTCTAGCAAGGCGTACTCCAGCGAGGTCTGCGCGGGGAGTAGGCCGGAGAGGCTGCGGCCCTGGGCTCCGGGCGCCGCCATGTTCCCTCCGGGCTCCCGAAGCGACCTCTGGGCCCGCGGGAGATTCTCGCTGGGAGAGACGAAACGTTCACTGTCCTGTGGTTCCCAAAGGGCGCATTCACCCTCCACCAGCTCCACTCCACGCCAACGACACTTTTTTCTTTTTAATACGTCCAAGTGCCAAAAGTCCAAATCGTCGCAGTTCCCGGGCACGTAATTAAACTGCCGTCCCGACCTACCCCGCCCTTTCTCGGTCCCCACGCCTCAGCCAAGCCTGGACATTGAGAGCGCCAGATTCAACATGGAAAAGGCTTCAGGGACAGCGTCCTAGAGGCTGTAAGGGAACCACCCCCACCCTCACATTAGAAATTAGCGGGCTTTAGGACAAAAATAAAATACAGTAAATCTGTAGGACTTAGAAGGGCAACCTATTTTTAAAAATTATTTTTAAAGTCTCTTTGACCGGCATCCGCCGATTCGACACGCTACTGTGGTAGCGGGAAGTTGTTCCCGCCAAGACTCTAAAGGTAAAGGGTGTAGGGATAACCTCGAGGGAGAAGGCTTTTTGTAAAGTGGGAGTGACTGGCGGAAGTGGCTTTCACTTATACAGCGTTTTGTCATCTGGGAGTGCTGAAAGTGCGAGCGCGAACAGATTTTTAGGTGGGGGTGCGGGGGAGAGCGGAAGCAGCTGAAGCGGCTCCCTCGGGGCGCCAGTGGCAGGTGGGCGGCGGCGAGGGTCCCTGAGGGCTGGCCTCAGAGTCTTCAGAAGGGGAGGGCTCTGTTTTTTTGGAGCTGGCTGTGCTTAATCTGGAGAGGGTTAAGGCCCCATTCCCTGGCCTTGCAGCCTCTAATGCCAGAAGAGAAGGGAGAGGCTGGCCTGTGACTCCGTTTTGAGCCTGGTGGACAGGGGGCCGGCCACTTTCAGGACCATTAGTGCATTACGGCGTCAGACCTCAATACAAGCCCACCCTTCCACATATTTGAACTTTTCTTCACATATTTGAACTTTTTTTGCTCACTGTGCAGGGATTGTTCGTTGCTGCTGGAGGAAGATCATGGACTGTCCCGGGAAACCGAAGTTGTTGAACATCCATTAGTTGTGGATAAGAGCAGTGACTTGGCGGTTTTTTGCGAATTACACCCCTCTTTGATTATGTTGTGACTAGTTTTGTTAGTAAACTGAGATAGCCATTTAGTGTTTGGGACACCTGTTGAGCCACTTGTCCGGTAACTGTGGTTGGATTTATGAATTATTTGGACGGTTGTCCACTTGAAATAGAACTGACAGTAGCTTCAAAGCTCATTTTAAGATGAAGCTGTTGAACCTATATTTCCCATTAGTGCTTAATTTTCAAAGTATTATTGATTCTTATTCTTATGAATCAAGTCCTGGAAAAAGCCAAGATATTTGAATGAAATGGCACTCATAATGGAAAACTTCACAGTTGCTGCTACTGTGATAGGTTTATCTTAGTTTTATTGTGGTATAAATGGAACAGTAGGTGTTCTCAGGCTCAAGTTTTCTAGCTTGCCAATATGTTCGTTAACAGTCCTTTAGAGTCTCATTGAGTTGGTGGGGGCTTTGTTACCTTTATATTTTTCTCAGGAAAATAATTCCATAACTTTTTGTGACAAGAAATGGACTCTCAATTTACTTAAGATTAATACTTCTTGAATGATAAAATCATTTTGCCATGTTAGAAGACATTTTTTCCGAAGAAGACATTTGGGAATACAAATCTAAAAGAAAACCGAAACAAGTTGATCCAAATAATTGCTCTAAAAATATTCTAAAATCTGTTGAAAAGGGAACAGATGGAAAATACCAGTCAAAACGGAATAGAAAGAGAAAAAGAGCCACGGAAGCTAGAGAGAAGGTGAAGGACCATGAAATATCCCTTGAAGAAGCAGATTGTCAGCCTTCTGCAGCTTCTAGTCAACATTCAAGTTGTGGAGATGGTAGTCAGCAGTCCCAAGACAAGGAGACCACTCCAGGAAAGCTCTGTAGAACTCACAAAAGCAAACACGTGTCCCCAAAGATTCGTCCAGTTTATGATGGATACTGTCCAAATTGCCAGATGCCTTTTTCCTCATTGATAGGGCAGACACCTCGATGGCATGTTTTTGAATGTTTGGATTCTCCACCAGGCTCTGAAACAGGTAAGATTGCAGAAAAGGTAGCAGTTTATAAATAATCTAAAAAGTCTTCATTAGGTCAGACATAACAATTCAGTGAAACGAGAAAGGCAAGCAGTAAACTAAAAGGGAGATGAGACACTGGGAGATACCATACCAGTCAATGGTATAATCATAAAAAAAATGGCAGACTGGAAAACAGTTTAAATACATTTTGTTATTTCATAAAAGTTCCTAAACATCTGGATTATTTTTCGTAAATGTTAATTGAATCCTTACTATGCTGGGTACTTTCACAACCACCATGTAAGGAAGGTGGTGTTGATATTTTATAGATGAAAGTTCTTAAAAGTCAAATACCTTGCCCAATTTGTCGTTTTTATAGAACTGTATAGAAAACTATAAATAGGCCAGGCACAGTGGCTCATGCCAGTAATCTCAGTACTTTGGGAGGTCAAGGCAGGTGGATTACTTGAGCCTAGGAGTTCAAGACCAGCCTGCAAAACATGGTGAAACCCTATCTCTATAAAAAAATACCAAAATTACACAGGTGTGGTAGCTACGTGGAGGCTGAGGTGGGAGGATCACCTGAGCCCAGGAGGTTGAGGCTGTAGGATGTTGTGATCATGCCACTGCACTCCAGCCTGGGTGGGGCAACAGAGTGAGACCTTGTCTGAAAAAAAATAAGTATAGATATAGTGTGGTTTCTAAATATGGTTGTTTTAGCCATCATGCTAATGTATACAGGAAGAGGAACTGTGAAGGAGTCACAGGTGATTAAGATTCTAACAAAAAGATGTGTCAAATGATAACAAAAGTATGCGTTTTTGTCTTTTAAAATATGTGATAAGTATTTAATATAGAAAATCCTACCTGGAATGCATATGGAAAATGCATTGTTGTGATGGTTTATATATTTTAAAGTAATCGTATATACTATATATAGATTTTTTAATCTGAAAAAGTTAAAATTCAGTAAAATAAAAAAAAATATTGTTTTCATATTATAATTCAGAATACATTTCATTATTAACCTGTAGTTATTTTAAAGTACTGCATGAAGATGCAAAAACAACTCCATCTTTAAATTGGGCATTAGCCTTTCCCATAAAAGTATAGCAAGTGAAAACCTCATAAATTTGCTAGTAATTTGCTTTTATGTAACTTGAAAATCAGGAATGGAATTGGAGTCAATGGTTGAAGACCTTAGGGTGAAATGTCCTATAGAGTGAAGCCACCTTAAAAATATTTTCTTTCAGTATTTCACTAAACTCCTTTGAATAGACTCTTAGATGGTTCTTCTTGAATTAAATTCTGTTCTATAACAAATGCTTTTATGAGGCAGTTTTAAGTTAGGTTTTAAACCACGAAGATTTCTAATTTAATATAATATCTTTTTTGAGGGGAAGGAGGTGTCATTTTTTGATAAACCTGGAAATTAACATATACAGGGATATGCAAAGATGGCTTATAGAAAGTTTCTCAATCATAATAGTTTGACAGGGAATAGTTTCCAAATTAGTAAAGCCTTACAATTAACCAATTTCTCAAATTCTATTTTTAGAATAGAATCTATAACTTTTCAGTGTATCAGCAATTATAACTAATCTTATTAAAATTGTTATTATATACAATGTGAATGTTAAATAATGGAACCCAATTTATAGGGCTATTGTTGTCAAAGCTTAGTCTCTGCTTTGATCCTATAATTTTTTTTAATTAAAATTTCAGAGTGTCCTGATGGTCTTCTGTGTACCTCAACAATTCCATTTCATTACAAGAGATACTCTCACTTCCTGCTAGCTCAAAGCAGAGCTAGTGAGCATCCTTTTAGCAGCCCATCACCTGCGTCAGGTGGCAGTTTCAGTGAGACTAAGTCAGGCATTCTTTGCAGTTTTGAGGAAAGATGGTCTTTGAATCGGAACCAAACTGATAACTCAGTTTCAAATGATCCCTTATTGATGACACAGTATTTAAGAAAATCTCCATCTCCAACTGAAGCCAATAAAAAGATTTCTGCTAATATCCAAACATCCCAACAAGCTCTGCAATTTACCGAATTTGTTGAGAATGACAAACTGGTAGGAGTTGCTTTGCCTCTTGCTGATGAAGAATTAAGCAGCCCAAACAACTCAGAACACATAAATTTGCCATTGCCAGAAAATGATTTTAGCGACTGTGGAATCTCCTATTCTCCACTTCAAAGCGATGAAGACCCTCATGATATCGATGAAAAACTGGATGATTCACAACAAGAATTGTTTTTTACAGAAAGCTCAAAAGATGGCAGCCTTGAAGAAGATGACAGCTGTACTTTGCTTATAAAACAACATAGTCCCTTACTGAAGGACCAGGACGAGAGCTGCACCAAAGTGAATAGTTTCTTAACTCAGGATAAGCATGATGAAGGATTGTATAGATTCAGTAGTCTAAATGATTTGTCTCAACCTATTTCCCAAAATAATGAGAGTACTTTGCCTTATGAGCCAGCATATGGTGGTGATTTTGTGTTGTTTCCACCTGCATTGGCAGGCAAGCTTGCTGCTTCTGTTCATCAGGCAACTAAAGCAAAATCTGATGAGCCAGAATTTCACTCATCTCAATCAAATAACCAGAAACAGGTAATTGAAGAGTCAGCTGTTTACAATCAAGTTTCTCTTTCGTTAGTTAAGAGTTTAACGTCGAAACCTTTTGAAAGCCAGGGAGGAGGATATCTTTCTTCCCAACCAACCCAAAGTAAAAATAGAAAATTATCAAGTGAGAGCTTGAATGCTAAGAATAATACTAACTCAGCATGTTTCTGCAGAAAGAAATTAGATGGTGTACCAGTTGGTAAAGCTACAGTTTTAAATACAGAAAACTTTTCTAGTACACCTGCTGCTAAGTCTTTGAAAATATTGCCTTCTGGTCCTAAGTGTAATGCAAGACATCCTTCTACCAAAGTAATGAAGCAAACAGATATAGGTGTGTATTTTGGACTACCTCCCAAAAGAAAAGAAGAGAAATTGCTAGAGGAAAGTGCATTAGAAGGGATAAACTTAAATCCAGTTCCAAGTCCTAATAAAAAGAGGTCCTGGCGGTG